ATATACTACTATTATTTCAATTCTTTGATTTATTTTAGGACTTGTTTTATAGACTGGGATATGATCTTTCTTGGTGACTATGTGAAGTTGGGAAAAATGTGCATCCTTCAGTTATTGGGTATAGTGTTCTATAAATACTAATTAGGAATATTGATAGAGTTGTTCAGGTCCTCTATATTCGGTGTTTTATCAATTGCAGAGAGAGGGTGTTCAAATATCCTACTATAATTGCAAAATTTTCTACTTCTTTTAGTCTATCAATTTTTGCTTTATGTTTCTTGAGGCTCTATTCTTAGGCACATATACATTTATGATTATCATATCTTCCTTATTAATTGACCTTTTTTTAAAGTTCATCTCTTCTAGTCAGCATATGGTTGGGGCTTGCTTTTTTTAAGAACAATCTATTCTGATAATCTTTGTCCTTTATTGGAATGTTGTGTTCATTAATATTTAATTTACATAATTATTGATATGATTGTATTAGACTTGTATTTCTTTTTGTTGTCCACTTTATTTTAGTTCCTCTGTTTCCCCTTTTTGGATTTTTTGAATTGTTTGGATATGTTTTATAATTTTGTTTTAACTTATTTATTAGATTTTTAGCTATACCACTTTTTTAGCTATACCACTTTTTAAATGGTTGATCTGATAATTACAATAAACATTAGATTTTCACAGTATATTTAGCTATTATTGCACTTCTTTGCATAAAGCATAGAAACTTTGAAACAGTATAAGTCTATTTCCCACTTCCTCACCACCACTGATAGTCCATAGTCATTAGAATCATTGTCCTGCTGTAGGGAATGGGTCATTTTTCTCTGGATATTTGTAAGATTTTTTCTTTACTATTGGTTTTCAGCAGTTTAATTATGATGTGCCTAGATGAGGTTTTATTCATAATTATCCTGTTTGGGGTTTACTGTGCTTTTGAATCTGTAATTAATGTCTTTCAACAAATTTGGGAATTTTTCAGCCAGTATTTTCTCAAATATAATTTCTGGCTCATTATCTTTGTCTTGTCCATCTGGGACTCTAATTAACTGCATATTGAACGTTTGGATATTGTCCCACATGTCCCTGAAGCTTGTTCATTTTTTTAAATCTTTTTTTTTTCCTCTTGTCTTCAGATTGGATAATTTCTATTGATTAATCTTCCCGTTCATTCAGTCAGCCATTATTAGGAAAGTGGATTTATACTCTACCAGGCCTGTTTTCTGTTTAAACTTGAGGTCACGGCTCAGGGTTTAAAGTACAATAGAAGTTCACAATGATATGATTTATTAATAGTAACTATGTAATATCATGATTTCAAATACAACATGATTCAAAACCTATCCTCAACTCGACTACTCTTTAAAGAAAGGCTGGGATTTTGCAATGAGTTCATAAATTAACTAGGAGCTAGGGATCTGGTAAGAAGATAGGCACTGGAGCAGAGAGTTTACAGCACACTGTGACCAGCTGCTAAAATCCATGTGTGAACAAAGTGCTAAGGGAGCACAGAGGCCCACATAACTGCCACTACCTCAGGGAGTCAGGAAAAGCCTTCAGAGAGTTGGTATTTTATTAGGCAATTTAGCTAGCAAGGAGAGTCAGGCTTTGCCAAAAAGCAAGAACATTCTAGGTAGAAGGGCTCTGGGAAAGGGCTGCCATGGTTTGGGAGGAGGGAAAACGATGAAATAGAGGGTAGTGTTCCCCAAAAGGGCAATGGTCTCAGAGGGGCCAGAAGAGTGTCTGTGCCAGGCCGTCCTGAAGATCAAGCTGAGACGTTCTTGTGTCACATAAAGGGAAGGGTAGCAAGGAGTAGGGTTCCTCCTTTAGCTAGTGAGGAATAAAGCAATAAGCTGCCCTCAAGGAGCTCTTAGACTGGCTGTAAAACCAAATGAACCTACATGAAAAAAGAAAAAAAGAAGAGGCAAAACACTTATGGCCATCATTCTAATCCTGGCCATCACCTCCTCTCACCTAGACTGCAGTACCCTCTGAAGGGGTCTCCCTGTTATTATTACATTGGCTCATTTCCAGTCCCTTTTCCATATTTGCAGCTAATCATCTTGTTAAGACATAGATTAGAATATATACATCCATTGTTTAAACCCATCCCATGGCTTCCTGCTACACTTAGAATGTTCTGAGTCCGTGCCACCGCCATGGCCTCATACTCAACCTCACTTAGTTGCTACTAGCCTACGTGAAAGACGGCCAGCTCTCCTGTTTCCTGGGCATACTCTGCCAAGCACAATTCAGGACTGGGGTGTCCACACTCCTGAGAAGGCCACTGTGGATACAAACTCATCCTACCTTCCCCTCTTCTCGCTTCTAAGCCACAGGCTGGTCTTGAAGAGCTTGCCTCTCCATCCACTTTGCCAACCCAACTCCTAGAAGAGGAAACCTATTCTGTTTCCTGGAGTAAGTTTACTTCTTCCTCTTGAAGACAACAAGAATAAGAGAAAAGAAATCATTCTTGACTATTCCATCCAGTTGCTTTATTTTAAAAATCGCTGCTGTTTCTAAGACCACGATACCTAACTCTCCTGTCTAAAATTCAGGCTGGGAAACATCACATAATTAGAAAATGCGGAGTTAACAAGAGCTGGAAGCCTGGGAGAGCGCCTTCATCCATCCATGCCGTGCACTGGCTAGTGGAGATGTAAGCAGAAGCACGTGATGTTGGCGTGCACTTTTATTGAGTGAGATGTGATGCTCAGAAAGTCTACAGCATGAATGTGCCCCAAGTGGAAATTCTTTCAGTAATAGTGCATAAACAGTCTGGCCCTCTCTTCCCACCGTCCCTCTCCCCCACTTTGCTCTTTCGTATACATAGTCGCGGAACAAGAGCATCTGTCCGTGGCTGGGTCAGAGTGGAGTGTCACCTTCCCGACCCTCTCAGGGAATGTTTGTAGTGTTTTGCTATTTTCTCTGCTGGGTGCACTTGTGATAACAGGATGGAGGCCCATTCTAGTCTGGGGCTTCCCTGGTTTTCAGGGCTCAAGTTAGCTGCCAATTCTCTTAGAATATTATTAAAATATGACCAACTTCGCCATTCTGCTTCCTTCTGCTCTCCATTCTCCTCTCTGAGCAAGTGATTACTTGAAAAATCTATTGGGAAAAGGTTGCTACCCAGTGTGGTGAGTTTCTCTATTTGTGAATGTGTTCTCCCAGCCTCAGGCTCCCTGTGTCTTTGGAGTAAAGAGCACGTGTCAAGATAGAACAGGACAGCCGGGTCAGAGGCAGCCGTGCCCCTCTAGGCAATTTCCAAGCTGCCTGGCCCTGTTTCTGGGGGGTCTCGGCGCAGTTTAGTTGGTGATTCGGGTGCCCCCCAGAGAGCACGGGCAGTGGTTCTGCAAACGGGCCAGGGAGCCCTCATGTCTCCACTGGGAAGTGACAACACCGGCAAAATCATCACTGTGTCAAATGTCATGAAGGTCTGCTACTGCACCTAAGCTTCCTGACACAGCCAAAAAAGTGACCTTTCAGTAGAAGAGCCCCCTCCCTGCCTATCTGCTTCCTGCTCCCTGCTCCCTGCAGGCAAATGATCAAATGATGCCTCCCGAAATTTTACAGATTCCTATTCTCACTAGGGAAATTGTCTAAAAATTTAAGATTTTCCCTTTCCATATTCGTCCTCTGGACTGCAGGAGAAGATGTCTGTAAGAAATTGTGGGGAGATATCTCAGACAGAAAAAAAAAAATACACTTTAAATTGACAAATCAGTCCAAACCACTAAGGTTATAACTCTTTTTTTTTTTTTTTTTCCTTTCCAGCAGAACAGTAAAACAGACTCGTTATTGGCAGCCCATTAGTGCTAAGGAGAGGCAGCCTGCAGCATGACATCAACCACCGCTTGACCCAAATCTAGCATTTCACCAGAGAGCCTTGCGCGCCGGCTCTCCAACTGCGCAGAGGACGCGCGCGGGGGAGAGGGAAGAAGGCATAAATAAGATACAGATTGGAGACTTTTTGATGTGTTTAGCACATTTTTGTGACTTCCCTTAATACCACAGCCCTTGCATTCTTCCACCATTAGGAGAACAAAAGACAAGCCTGAGATGGGCTGGAAGGTTGGCGGCTGGGGGGTGGGGGGAGACCCATTCAAAAAAAAGTTCCATTCGGATAATTAGCATTTTAATCCACATGCTTAAAAGGGGAGGCCAAAAAATGGGAAGAGAAGCATGAATCCCACAGCCCAGTAACTTCAGATATAAAAAGTCCCTTCATTAAATCAGTTGTTTTTTAATTCATAATTGAACTTAAATAAAGAAGGACCTATAGGCAGCTGTTTCTAATATCGAGTCCCCACCGCACATGAAAGACGCATTTATTCCTGCAGCAGCCTCCCTAGCCCTGGGTGTTATCAGCTGAACATGTTTTGAACCTACCTAATGCATTTGAGGTAGCTTGGGTTTATTTTTCTTTCAATAAAATAAATGGTTTTGTAATTAAATTTCTGCACTGCCTGTGCTTAATGGTTACATTGACAAGTGCTAATGTATGGCAAGAGAATGAGTTTGAAATGAAACATGCTGTTTTCGAATCTGCAAGCAATTTTGCAGTGGGGCAATGAAACCCCTCATGCCAGCGAAACATTTTCATTAATCTGCTCGCTACGCCCCTGCCCACTCCTCCGGGCGCACGAGGACACCTTTTAGCTCCCCTTTGCCCACCCCCACGTTGCCTTTTTCTAAACACACACACACACACACACACACACACACACACACACACACACACACACACACAAATATCATGAAGCGAGCCGTTGTTTGAAACCATTTTGTGGTCTCTGGCAGGCGGGCTTGTGGAAATTCGCTGACTTTACACCGTGAAATGTTGCAGCTGTCTCTCTCCTCCAAACGGACTGGCTGCCCCAATGTTTCAATTCCTGGCAGCCGGTCAACAAGAAAATCTGTCCCTCTGTTTTCCTTTTTTTTTTTTTTTAACTTTTCCCCCTTAGCTTAATTTATTTTTGAATAAATCTTCTCATAGAAAATAGAGAACAGCTATTACATATCTGGACTCGGTCTGTGCAAACCACTTCAAGCCATGGCAAAGGAGGCGGCCTTCCAGCCTTGCGCCCGTCGAAGGTTCGTGAACGGAAACCTGGGTTGGGGGGATGTGGTCTTCGCTGGCTCTGCTGCCGCTGCCCTCAGCCGGGGATGGGGCCTGGTGGCTCCTGCTCAGGCCTGCACAGGTACAGGTGGTGGCCACGGACCTTTGGCTCTGCCCCTTGCCCAAAGGCCTGGGTTGCATCTGGCCACTAGAGGGATGGAGGCTGCTCTGGAGGCCCCATGGCCCTTCAGCGAAGGTCAAGAAAGGGGTCTGGGCCGGGTGCGGTGGCTCACGCCTATAATCCTAGCACTCTGGGAGGCCAAGGCAGGTGGATTGCTCAAGGTCAGGAGTTTGAAACCAGCCTGAGCGAGACCCCGTCTCTACTAAAAATAGAAACAAATTAATTGGCCAACTAAAAATATATAGGAAAAATGAGCCGGGCATGGTGGTGCATGCCTGTAGTCCCAGCTACTCGGGAAGCTGAGGCAGAAGAGAAGGATCGCTTGAGCCCAGGAGTTTGAAGTTGCTGTGAGCTAAGCTGACACCACAGCACTCTAGCCCAGGCAACACAGTGAGACTGTGTCTCCAAAAAAAAAAAAAAAAAAAAAGAAAAAAGAAAGGGGTCTGAGGCCCCCAGGCCAAGGGGGGTGTGTAGAGATGGAGAGCAACTGGGGAGCCTTGGTTCCGTGGCTGCCCACAAGGTGTGCAGCTCAGCACTTTCTCCCCAGGCTGGGCAAGAGGAGCCAGAGGGCTGACCGCATGAATGCTGACTCACCCCAGCGGGCCAGGATCACACGCTGTCCTCCCCCAGCTCTGCTCTCTCTTGCTGGTCCTAGGACGGTGTTTAGGGGAAGGGCTTCTGTGTGGTCTCGGCCTCCCTGAATTTCCTGCAGTGGAAGGTAGAGGAGACAGCTGCTTATGAGATTTCAGGAGCACCAGGCAGGATCTCCGCCCCTCAGAACGCCCCTACCCATTTCCTAAGTCCTGAATTGCTTTTCATAGGCGACAGAGCCTTTCATTTCATAATTAGAGAAGAGGCAGGGACACAAAAGTGGTTGGGAAGGAGGCACTGAGACTGAGAACTCCACTCAGTCATAAATGAAGGGCAAGAGAGGGAGAAAGAGAAAGAACCTGTGTTACCTGGCACATGAACAGCAGGAGGGGAATCTTGGGAGGGGCAGATGGTAATGAAGTAGAGGACAAGAGTCAAAGCCAACAGACACCTTCACAGCGGCCCTGTGAAGAAGCAGGGAGCTCCAGGATTAGATGGACCGTCATAGATTAATGCAAGAAGTTGACTTGGTCTTACGCAGGGGCAGAAAGGTCCATGCCCCAGCAGGAAGAACAGAAAGTTGAGGAGGAAGTGAGGCTGGGGGATGCCCTTGTGCGCCTTGGCTGAGCCTGGGCTGGGCTCCTGTGGAACTAGGGTGATGAAATAAATATGTGAAACCTCTCAGTTTCCCATGAAAGCTATGATAGTGATTAACCCCACAAAACAGTGAGACACTTCATTCATTCATTCGTTCATTCTGCAGATAATGAGTTCTCACTACGTGCTAGTCCTGCAGCGAGGCTCTTTCAGGACACAAGCAGAATAAAGGCATGGCCTGCCCTCTGAGGTAAGTGCTGTGATGGAGACACAAACGCAATGTGGCGTGGCTTCGGAGGAGGAAGACACTAGGTGTGCTGGGAGAAATAGGAGAAGGCTTCATGGAAGAGGTGAGCCTTAAAGTCAAGTAGAATTTCAGAAGCGGAGAATGATGTTCCAAGGTAGGGAACGGGCATCACATGGAGGTATGACAGTAGAAGTTGTATCTGGAGAAGGATGAGTGGTCCCAGATGAATGGAGAATAAGGTCGAGTGCCTGTGGGAGGGGTGTGTGTGTGTGTGTGTGTGTGTGTGTGTGTGTGTGTGTGCGCGCTAGGGGATGGAATTAAGAGTTAAGATGAGGCCACGCTGTGAGCCTTCATCAGCAAGCCCTAGAGGCCGTGCTTTACTCCGCAACCACAGATATCCCCTAAAAGCACAGGAGGCGTGAGGATGGAGTGCGTGGTGATGTGAGCCCAACCGGGTATTCATAACAGAGCCTGTGAGCTGTGAAACAAGGCAGGCTGAGAAGAGGAGACTTGGACGCAGGTAGACTAGAGGCGATTTCAGTAGCCCAGGTCAGAGCGGAGGAGGACTGGCAAGGCAGAGGCCCTGCTCCTGGAGAGAGAAGATGGATGCTGGGGACCTGCAAATGTCAGGGACACCCAGTCAGAGATGGGGGAGGAAGGGAAGTGACACTGAGTGGTCTGTTATTGTCAGAGTGGCCAGGAAGATGGCAGTGGCCATGGCCGAGACAGAGAACTCCAAGAGAGAAGTGGGTTTGAGGGAGGGAAAACAGAAAACACTAATTCCAATTGGATACACTGAGATGAAGTTCCGGGAAGTGACTGCCAGGAAGGAATGTTCAGGGAACAGTAGAGGGATGGATGGACCAACACACGCTGAGAGGAGCCAGATCAACACATGGAACAGCAGGTGAGCAGGGGGTGAGCAGGAGGTGAGCTTGAGGAACAGGGGGGAGAGGGCTGAGAAGGGCTGGAACGTGCTTCCCAGGATTCCAGGAGACTGGAGGGGAAAGGGTGAGGCGGTTGGGTTGGGCAATGAGGAGGACGATGGTTATCTCTGGTGGAAGGGTCTCAGCGAAGGGGAGGCTAAGTAGGGTGTGAGAAGTAGACTGAGGTGGAAAGAGGAGATGTTGGGCATGGCTTTTAAGAAGTTTCAAGCGATGAGTGTGAAGACAGTTTTCTTGGGTGATGGGCCCTTGAACAACATTCAGGGAGGAATCGGTGAGGGGAGACATTGAAAAGGCAAGAGAAGGGACACTAATGGAGCATGACTGTGGAAGAGGCAGGAGGGGGGAAGGGCGGGCCTTGGAAGGTGGTAGGAGAAGGGGTGAGGGGCAGAAGCTGTGGAGAGAAAGGCAAGGTGAGGTGGGAGGTTGGCAGCCGCTTGGGGACGGAAATGGTGAGGGCGTGTGCTGAGCGGGAGGTGGGATGAGGGCGAGGGGAAGAGTGGGTGGTATAGAAATTCAGGCAGGAAGGAAAGGGGCTGGAAGGTTGGGATGTGGCTCCAGCCTTTCTCGGCAGCCTGGAAGCAGAGAACGTGCTGGTGGGATGACTCTGGCTACGGCTGGCACCTCGGCCTGAACAGGAAGCCAGAGGTGAAGGACTTTAGGGGCCAACCAGGCAGGATTTTGCGGCAGGAAGCCTTTGTGTTGATATGGGTGACCTTCCGCTCCTTGTCTTGAGCTGACATTTGGAGACCAAATTTGAAATAGTTTTAAATCAAAAATATCTAATTCTGCCAGGAAGAATTCCTAACTAGGATTTAGAAAACCAACTCCTGTGTGGCTTCCCCTCCCTGTCGGCTTTCCCGTGCTGTGTGATCCGGGCAGGTGACTTCAGCTTTTTACATCATCGCTCCCACCTGCCGACCTCTGGGACACATTCTGTTGATTCACTAACGTCTTGGGGAAAATGTGCTATTTAAATAAAGGCAACCTCTCTAAGAAGGAGTTGGAGTCTACAAAATTTTGTAGTCCTTGCCCTCCCATTACAGTGGTAAAACAAAACAAAAACAAACAAATCCGGTTTAGTTGAAACCTCATTGGTCTTTTGACTTGTTCTTGATGTTCAGTGGCGTTGTGGAAGTTAAACAGATATTAAACAGATTCTACCCAGTTTAGTTTGGGAAATTAAACACTGTCCGAGCCACTGTTGTGGTCAGGTCTGCATACGAGGGCGGAGAACCCTGGTGTGGGCTGCGATGGCCCCAAGGGCTTATTCTTTGTCACAGGCAGCACCGTAGCCGCTGCTGGAGTGGGGAGAGGACTGCATGTGGGGCCGTCACTGCGACCCGCCTTACACACAGGGGGCGGTGATCCCATGGGGTCTGTTCTTCCTGAGCCCCCTTCAAGCACCTCCAAGATCCTCCCCATAGCCCTAAGGAGACTTTTGAAGCCATTCTTTGTCTTCTATTAACTTCAGGCCGCGGCGCTATGCCGTTAGCCAGCCAGAGTTGGGGACAACAGAGACCAGAGCCCGAGAAAGGCCTCCACAATGTCAGCAGGCCCCGTGTTAGTCCAGCCCAGAATCCCGTAACTGCTGAGACACTCAGGCATGACTTGGGAAGGGGACAACCAGGAGCCTCTGCCGCAATCTCGGAAGGCAGAGAATAGACTGAACAGCCAGAGAAGCAGCTGTCATGATGTATCCAAACACACCTGTGAGCTCTGTGCATTTTCCTTGGGGCCACATCTAGGAGGAGTGAATTTCATAATTTGACATCCCACTGTCTTAAGTGGACACATCCTTCTCTCTCAGGCTTCCAAAGGAGCCACTTTACTTTTACCAACTTGAATTTGATGACCAACCAAAGAGACCAAAAAGTAAATAATCGTGATTAGAAATCTCTGATATACTAAACCTTTTACTAAGTGTTCATCTTTGCTAAATTGTTTCACAGAATTATGTATCGTTTAAGCAGTGTTATCTCCATTTTACAGATGAGGAGTTGGGCTTTAATATCTAGATTGAAGCCTAAGCCTGTTCTCCCTGTTTCATTTTGCAGAGTCTGTAATGCCATCATGAGCTGCCCTGTCACAACCTCTGTCTTTCCAAGTTAAAGAATTGATGCTCCTATTCTGCTGCTCCATGTTGGTATCTGTGGAGAGGAGGGCTAGACATCTAAACTTGCTGGCTGAAAACCAATACATCTTTCAAGTATTATTGAGATCTGCAACATGCTCGTCACTGTAGGAAGGAAGCAGAAAGAGAGGTCCCATCTGCAAGGACACAGTTACCTGCTTTGGAATGCACAGAAAAACATGTCCACTTGCCTTCCACTGGTATTCCTTGCAGCCAAGCCTCAGAGGCATGGGTTGTGGTTTCCAGATGCACAGCAAACATCAGAAAGCAACTCTAAGGACCCAGTGTGCTCCGGGGGCCCCATCCTGTCCCAGTGAGTCCCAAAGCAGCCCTCTTCAGTGGTGGGAATGTGACAGGGGAGGAAGGCATTGTTAGGTCCCCCAGCTGACAGTCCCTCACTTTGCCTCCTGGATGTCTCTGCTTGAGCCTGGAGGAAGACGGCTAAACATGGACAAGGAGAATGGGAGCGGTCTGTGATCAGAAGCAAAGTAGCTCAGCACGTTGAAGCAGCTCACACTTTCCGTAGCAGAACTGATGAAGCGTCATAATTCATCCTCCCCTTGGCTCAGAGCCCTCCTTAAGACTTCCAGGGAGGAAGCTTCCCAGAGGAAGGAAGGGAAGACAGAGGGAAGCTTGGACAATTCCCACAGTAAGACGGTGCTGGCCTGGGACTGGGAGGGCAGAGCCTGAAGGTTGGCTGCTGAGCCGGGCAGGGAAGGCTGGGTGCTTTGGGGCCAAAGTGCTTGTTATGAGAAATTTCTTAATGACTGTAAGTCCCCAGGGAGGCACGTGAGCACTGCCTGGCGCCAGCCGTGCTTGCACGGGGCTCGTGTCCAAGTGGAAAACATGTCGGGGGTGAGTGAGGAGAGGGAGAAGGGACTGTGTGGCTACTGAAGGTGACGGACAGCCTTGGAACAGCAAATCGGGCTCCTGTGGGATTGGGTTTTACTGCAATGGGTTACAAAGATGAGTGACTTTCAGGTGAGAAAGAATCTTAGTTCCTGGTTTCTAGAACAAAGCTTTTTCATGGTTCTTAGTGAGTTTCATTTGTATTTTCCACCTGCAGACCTTTGCTCATGACACTTCTTCCTTCTTTCCACATGTCCAAATCCTACTAGGCCAGCTCAGGCCTCACCAGCTCTGTGAAGTCACCCCTGAAAGTCTAACTTGAAGTCTCCCTTCTCCAACCTGCTGACCTGCCGTAGGCAGAGGTGACGTTAGTCTGAGATTCTCCAACAGAGATGTGTGTTTAGGAGGAACATTTGTCTGCTCAGAGCCTTGAAGTTACTCAAAAATTCTAGGGGAACAAATTGGTAAGATTTACTATATTAAAACATTTTATGGAGTAAAATGCAAAATTGGCAAGAGTGTTTAAATTAAAGCTGAGACTTCAAAGAAATTTCATGAGCACAGAGGGCCACTGGCTACCTGCTTGCTCTCCTCTCCACGGGGGAACTTTGGCAGACAAGTTTGGGGAGAAGGCAACGTGAAATCAGGGGACATAGGAGGGCCCCCCTTTTCTTCCTGGAGGCTGGGCAATGGGGAGTTGAAGGCTTACTAATTAAGAGCAAATGGATATGATTTTATTAAGCTGCAGTTTAAAAATAACACCACCACATACTATTTATCACACATTTCCTACATGACAGCACTCTACTATTGCATCACACATGTTATTTCAATCAACCCTCACAAAAAGTCAATGAGGTGAATATCACTACCTCTTTATAGCTGATGAGATCAAGCCATGGTGAGGTAATATAACCTCCCAAGTTAAAAAGCTAACAAGTTCAAGGTCCAGGATATGATCCAGGTCTAGCGGACTCTTAGCTACTCTGCCATGCTGCCGTGGATATACGAAAGAAGAAACATGCAGCACAACTCATCATAGGCACTCCTGAAAGTTTTGTGATTCTCATGTTGGCCCCAAATGTTGACCTCCATGATTGTGAGTCCAGCTCAGATGGAGAGGTCAGTTTGTCTTAGTGCTTCCTCCCCAGCTGGGGCTCTTGGGGTATGGGGACCTCACCCCTATACCAGCATCTGGATCTCACAGGGTCCCAGCCTGATTTATCTAACCAGATAAAAGGGGTAGATGTGGTGTATCCATGTACAAGTTTAGGAATAACCAAGTCAAATTAAATGTCCATAAGCAAGAGATGGGCATCAGATTAGTGGGCAGCCAGAGGCATGGCTGGTTGTTCATCTTGCTCCACACAAGGAAAACTCAGGGTAAGAAATCAAGGCTGCTGCTCGTCTACTGGGACAGTTTATCTCCAAGAACTTTTCCATCCGGTCAGCATCTTGGTTGATAGTTTCACTGTGGTTGCAGTGAAGAACCAGGGTTATTTTTAATAACACATCCCCATCCACTGCATTCATTCAGTCCTATAGCAGTTTACAATGCATTTGACCCAGACAGATGTATGGCCAGTATGGGGGGGTGAGGGTGTCTTCATTTTCTGTCCTCTTTTAGCCTTCCCTTGCCTTGACAGTCTCCCACAAAGGGAGTTCGTTTTGACACCCCACGCATACTTTCCACTGTCCGCATTTGCCCAATCTCCTAAAGCCCTTTCTAACTTTACACTGCACAAACTTACGTCTCAGGGACTTGCCAAATCTTGTCCAGTCCTAAAGTTTTCTTTGGCAGGGACTGCGCCACTCCACTGAAATGGATCGGGTGAGCCCACTGGGCCGGCCTTGGTGCCGCTGCTCCAGGCGCCATATGCAGCTGCTGGGTCTTTCCTGACTCCCTTCCCAGGCTCCGTGGGCATTGGCATGACTGTGCCCTGCCTCCTCCAAGCCCTGGCTTCCTGGAGCATCAGCAGAGTTCAGCGCCTCCCAGGCCCAAGGCCTGCAGGAACGTCATTAAGTGGTTGCGTTATCTTCAGCCCTGCCCGCTCACCCAGTGTCCCTGGCCCTCACTGTTCTCCCCCAGCCAGCCTTGCTGGTGGCTCCAATCTTTCAGTTAGAGGGGAAAGTCATTCATCCATTCAACCAATATTTATAGAGTACTTATACAACTCTGTTTATTGTCCTAGGACTTAATGAACAGTGAGCAAAACAAAACGTTGAGCCCTCTTGGCTCTTACATTCTAACTCATCTAATAAACTTTTAAAATGAAGTTGTTGGGGAATTTAATATGCTTTTCCTCCCAGGATGCCTGCTCCTTAAAAGTAGAGTCTGGAGAAGTATAGGTTAACCCAAAGGAATGGAGTACCCAAGGTCTCTTTGGGGGCAATATTTGGGACTGAGAAACCTCTTTGGTCTTTTAGAATAGGGGTCAGCAAACTACAGCCCGTGGGTCAATATCTTTTCGTTATGATCCACAAGCTAAGAATGGTGTTTACATTTTTAAATGTTGAATTTTTAAATGGTTGAAAAAAATCAATGGAAGCATATTTTGTGATGTGAAAATGATATGAAATACACATTTCAATGTTCATAAAGTTTTATTAGAACACAGTGATGCCCATTCATTTACACACTGCCCATGGTTGCTCTCACGCCTCAATGGCAGAATTAAGTATTTGTAACAAAGATTGCATGTGGCCTGAAAATCCTGAAACATTTACTATCTGGACCTTTATAGAAAGTCTGCTGACCCCAGCTCTAGAATCACACGGTGGAGACAGCCATTTATATTCCATGTGCATAAAACCAGCCCAGTCCAGGCAAGGAGGAGTCGCTCTTTCTCCTGTTGCCTGCGGAGGAGAATCATAAAGTGGACTGAACGTGGGAGGCTGAGAACCAGTTCCTGACATCTGTTTTCTCTTCCGCACACCGATACAGCCCTTTTGGGAAGCGTTCCGACAAATGCAAGATTCGTTCCCAGCAGAGTCTTCAATGTTATTTGCCAAGTTCAGGAGCAGATCTTCACCTTGGGAGGTTCTGGGCTCCTTGGTGGGGGGCTCGTGCATGCTCTTGGCTCCACAAATTTAAGTATTAATATTCATGCCTGGGGAAAGAACACAGGACTAACAGGCAGAGGAAATGTGCTCAAGTTCTTCCTCTGCCACTTAGTAAGTTGTGTGGTAGGGGGCAAGTTCTTTAAAACGGAGAAAGAAGCCTCAGTTCTGTCATCTGTGAAATGGCCTGTCTTGCCTACTTCAAAGGTCATTAAGAGAAACATATGTGATCATACATGTGAAGACGTCTGTAAACGGGACAGCAGCTGCAAACACATCATCTTTTCTCTTTCCACGGGTGGGGAGCGGTATTTGTGGAATTCTCATCTTTTGTCCTTTGTCCATGGAGACCTGGTCAGAGAGCTGAGGTGAGAGATACCAGGAACAATGTTCTCCTTCAGTCAGAGTTCCTGCCTGACCTGAGGCCCCACCTCCCAACCCCTCACCCCAGATTCCACCTACTCTCTGGGGTCAGCTTTGGGGATTCTCAACCATGTAGGGGGCACAGGCCTCACACAACCAAATCAGAACACCCCTGCAGTTCTTCCAGGGTCACATCTGTTAGTTTGGAGGAGGTCACAGCTGCCTTCCTTCAACGGCCCCCAAACCCTTACCATGGTGGGACCACTGGTAGCAGCCTTCTCCCCGCCTATGTGTAACCCTCTTGAAGTGCAGTGAGTTTAGATACCATTGTATACACCTAATCATCCTAAGCTTGATACTTATCTTTTTTAGGTAGTTTAGGGTTGGGGAAGGATGAAACATTAGAGAAGAGTGATTTTAAAAAATCAAAATCTGGCCGGGCGCTGTGGCTCACGCCTGTAATCCTAGCTCTTGGGAGGCCGAGGCGGGCGGATTGCTCAAGGTCAGGAGTTCAAAACCAGCCTGAGCAAGAGCGAGACCCCGTCTCTACTATAAATAGAAAGAAATCAATTGGCCAACTGATATATATATAAAAAAAAATTAGCCGGGCATGGTGGCACATGCCTGTAGTCCCAGCTACCAGGGAGGCTGAGGCAGAAGGATTGCTGAGCCCAGGAGATTGAGGTTGCTGTGAGCTAGGCTGACGCCACGGCACTCACTCTAGCCTGGGCAACAAAGTGAGACTCTGTCTCAAAAAAAAAAAAAAAAAAAAAAAAAAAAAAAAAAAAAAAATCTTCCTCCTTCACTGGACCACAAGAATTTTAGGGGCAGAGACTTTCTGTTCTGCCCCTATCTATTGTGTCACCAACAGCCACATGACACCAGGCACATGGTAGAGGCTCAGTAAATACTCCTTGAATCAATGAATGAATGGTATCTTGGGATTTATGACAAATCTCTGGTCGTTCTATTGATATCTTTTATGAGTTTATACACATCCCTTCTATGATAAACATAGCATTCTACACACAGCAGGTGCCTAAGACATGTCAGTAGATGATGACAACAATAAACATGAGGTTGAAGAGTCAATCTCCCAAATCTCAAAGCCAAAGGAACAGAACAATCCATGTGAATAATTTCTAAGTTTAATATGAATTTAAAAACAAGACAAAACAAAAAAAACTTTTGTCCATGGAGACCCAGTCAGGGAGGGTCAAGGTGAGATACCAGGAGCAATGTTCTCCTTGGGGCTGGTATCTTGTACTTCATATTTTCTTCAAGGACTGAGCGGCCATTACTTGGAACTTTGACATGTGATCTGGAAAGTCTGGGATGGCTGCTTCATTGGCTGCATCTGCTGAGAAAACTCTGAAAGGAACAAATACTCCTGACAGTGACCCACGAAGGCTGGCACTTATAACTACCATCCTCAGTGTTTAGGAGAAAGAAATTTTCATTGTGGACTGTGGAACAGATGTCAAATCCTCAGCCATCCTTCTGCTGTTTGCTATGAGTCACCCTGGAGCCCTTCCATTCCAGCACCAATTTCCACGAGTAACATCAGTGTGTGGCCGGAAGTACGTGCTGGTGGATGGGCTAGCGTGAGGAGGGCTGGGAGGCTGGGCCTCAGGCGTCTGTGCACTTTGGTCTTCTTTGCTTCTTTGGCCACTTTGTCCCTCTTCCCCCACGTCCCTCCACCATCACCACCGTCCTCCCCTTCCTAGTTGGCTTCTCAACATTCTCACTGGCTCATCAAATACAGAAGTGCAGGCTGCAGAAACACTTCTGCTCAGCGAGCACCTTTTGTCCGTGCCACCCCCAGGCAGCCAGAAGGGAGAGGCCATTTCCTGGACAACGGCGGGAGGAGGTGAGTGGCTTTCTCACTCTTTTCACCTGGGGCCCCATTCGAGAGCCCTTTATCCAGACCTGCCTGCTCACTCCAGAGCTTTCCAGCATCCTTCCCAGGTTTTCTGGCTGGTGCAGCCATTTCCACCAGTGGACTTGATCTCCCATCCCCT